GTGCAATAGCTTTGAGCTAGGCCATGTACCAGTGGCGATACAGATTTTTGAATATGATGCACGTAAAACCTGGTGAAAACGTACAAATAATTGAAAAATCTATAAAATATTAAATTTGTATCTTGCTTTAAAGACAAATAGCTCTAAATAGTCACTATCATATCAACTTTTAGTCTGGTAAATTTATTTGGTAAAATATGTACGAAATCTAGTGATTTTTAGCACTTTTAGGAGTGCACACAAACGGTCTTTGAAAACCGGAAATGACGTCGAATTTCACATTTTCGCGCCGTTTGCCGGAAATAAAATTCTGATCGAACTAAAACTTATAGCGATGAATTCAGTGCATGGAGGCCTTCACTCATGCCAATTTTGAGAAATTTGAAAAAAAWWTATTTTGCAACTCATAGGTGACCCTTAATGCAAACCCCTCTTAAGATCGTAGGCATAACTTTTTTTGCGCCAAAAAAAACAACATTCTTTTGTTTGTGAATGATAATGTAAACATTACAACGCGCGGCTGAATTTATAATGCACATTTTGATTTACAAAATGCAAGAGCTTAAGAATTGGCTCTGAAGTTAGAAGTATATGGTGGGAACTAAAGGGCGGTATCGGGCGAGTTTCGATTCCATAACTTACTAACACAAGTAGGTAGAGTCTGGGTGTTTGGTGTCTTTCTGGATTCGAAATGTTTTCTTCTTCTTCTAGATGGCATGCACAGTTTTGATGTGTTTTAAAGTAAAGTTGGAAAAGTTGTCAAGAAGCAACTCCAAAAAACAGTAATGAAATAGAAAGGCTTACCTCTTGCAAACGTACGACAGTCCACTGCTTGGAAAAACAGCACCAAAGCTACAAAAATCCCGAAGTAAAATTCAGTTACAGACATATCTTTTCTGGTCTCACAAGTAAACTGTATGGGAGCTTTCAATTCGAGTCGACAATGAATGGTTGAGGAGTTTCGGCTGTAGATTAGAAGGATTATAATACCAGCCAATTAAATCATACATTTTACATTAAAACAGTAAGTGATAAAGGCTGATAATAATCCACACAAAATGAATTTGACGTTTAATTGGAAAATTATGAATCAATATCATATAATATAATCTCATAGACTTTCATTAATCCCTTAATATAATAGGATTCTCCTGATAATTCGAGCAAAACTCATTTAGTGGAAATAATTAGACTTTTTTATCATAAGTGTACAGAGTTCAGAAGCTGAAATATACCCGTAATTTAGCTTCTTAATTCGAGTTTCTGTTGAACTACAAATATACACTAATTAAAAAAAAGTTATCTCAAATTTTGTACACGTTCATGAAATAGGTTGTTTTTCACTTGTTTTTCCACAATAACAGAATATATTAAACGTTTATCCGCCAGTCTCTTTTTTTAATAAATCATTTCATAGCTCATTGCTGGGTAAAAATGCTCATACAAGGGTAACGTGTTTTTCTTAGAATCGCTCAGTTCAGTCTGCATGCATGCGCACTATGCTGACGTGTTTCTTTAGTCATGAGTGAAAATATAAAGAGCGAAGATTAACGAGATATATTAAGGCGACACTTGACTTACCATTAAATCCATATACAAAATGAACTCAAGCCGCAAAAGAGAAGAAAATTATATCGTCCTTAACTTTGCAGACAAACCTTAGATTTCTCCAATTCTTAAACAAGGTGGTCAGCAATACCATAGGAAATACAATCGGAATCGTTGGAATACTTGACTCACACTAAATTATCTATATATATTTGTTTTGCCTCGGTGACTCCATTTACACCAAGAAATTAGTAAATTGTGGTATAAGGGGCACCTTATCTTTTTTACGAGCCGTGTCACTTGTTAGGAGATATCTACTCTATGATCAACCACAATAATCCTAATACATGCCTAGCAAATATTCCGATGATACTTCCGAAAATGGCCAAGGATACCCTTAAATATGGTCATTTGAAAAAAGGATACCTTTAAAAAATATACTATTAAATGTGGTCAAGAATACCCTTAACTATGGTCATTTGATCAAATAAGGATACCTTTACAAGGGCGGATTCAGGGATTTCTTGAAGGGGGGTCTCAGGGGAAAATGTTGTGGGCAAAGGAATCCCGGTCGCATTTTTACCACAGGAAGCCACATTTGACCTCAGGAATGATAGGGGGGGTCGCGACCCCCCCGACCCTCCCCCTGGATCCGCCCTTGTAATATTTTCCTTTTGATATACAACCTTTCAAGGTACAAGAACACGAATCAAGGAAGTTTCTTGCGCACTTTAAGGATGGAATCAGGTACGATTACAATTACTTGTCATTAATTTGAATTTAAATTTATCCAACTTTACACTCTGAAGTGGACGGAAAGCCTTCCAGTTCTAGGACCCAATTACAAGGTAACCGATAGATCGAATTAGAAATTGGAAGTTGATTTTTGAGGAGGGAGGAAAAACCGTGTAGAACCTGGAGAAAAACCCTCGAAGCACAGGAGAGAACCAACAAACAATTCTACTGACATACGACACTGAGCCCGGCGGGACTTGAACGCGGGTCGCATTGGTGAGAGACGAGCGCATTAGCAGCGCGTGCGCACATCACCNTGAAAAAAGGATACTCTTAAGTATGGTCATCTGAAAAAAGGATACTCTTAGATATGGTCATCTGAAAAAAGGATACTCTTAAATATGGTCATGTGAATAAAGGATACCGTTAAATATGATCAAGGATACCCATAAATATGGTGTTTTGAAAAAGGATAATCTTAAATACGGTTAAGATACTCTTAAATATGATCTTTTTGAGAGAAAAAAAGATATATATTATTATTATTATTCTGAATACATTTACAATAATTATGTTTATTTAACTTTCAGAAAATGTACTTTACATTTATGTGATAATGTATTAAAAAGCCATGGCGCGAAACTAGGCTGGCGAGATACGTGGTCAAAAGTCTCAAAGGTGCTGCAACATTGCAAGGACATGCACCTCGATACTTGTGTATTTAAAATCATTCAAATCGTTTGCTATTCATATCTTTAATGTCTCTTTTTGACTGAGTTTGTTTCTAACTGAAGGGTACTTTGTAAACAAAGTTGGTTTTCTCTTTGCCTACACATTCCGTCGAGGAAGCCTTACAGGCTTCGTATCCGTCAGTAATACAGTTAGCTGAGTCCCCATCTTTGTTGTATGTCTCTGCTGCTTCTGATCCAGACCAGCATTCGCCTACAAAGTAGAACATTCATTACGGGCAAACGTAATTATAATTTGGACTAGGGAGGGTCGGGTTAGGGAGAAACTAACTGTGGAGACTTAACCCATACTCAATTGACGTCTATTTTATCTTTATGCACAAAAGGGAACGAACGACGTTTCAATGCTTAAATGTTTATTTTTCCTTAAAAAGGGACAAAATTATTTCAAAGCTTACCATAGTTTTGGACTCCAAAGTATGTAAATCGCTTATTTTGAGTCACTCTTGCACATCGACAAATCAGATCATCAATGTACGAATCCCAGTTGCCCCAGTCAATGGTAACATTACTGTAAACCTTATCGGTCGGGTCTCGATCAGTTAGGATGAGTTGTGGTAAAGGTCTTGGGTCTGAATGGTTGTCGTTATAGCAGCCAACCCTTTCGTATTTCACTGAGCAAGTGGGAGCTGGAAGTTAAGAAAAATAAATTGTATTGTAGAAGCAGTTTCAAATGGTGAGTCCTGTTTCCAATCATTGTAACCCGGAAATCTTGTGATAATGAAGATGACGATAGTTGTGGTGTTATTGCTGATGACGGTGAGCAAGTTGGTGGTGATGTTGTTATTGATAAAGATGGCGGTGATGATGATGTTGGCACTGATGGTGGTGACGATGATGGTGATGATGATGAAAAAAATGATGGTTATGGTATTGACGCTGAATATAATAATGATGATTACGTAATTGAAATCAATTAAGTTAAAGAAAAATCAAAAACATTCTACCTGCAGCTCTAATACCATAGACATAGTTGGTGAACTGCTTTCCCGCGCATTGATCCGTATTTGCTTTAGGGTCTGCCGGGCATGCATTGTAACCATAGGTAACACACGTATCTGCAAGTCCATCTCTACCAAATGTATCACCAGCCTCTGCTCCCGACCAGCATTCACCTTATAAGCACCATAGCACAATTAGGTGTTTGCTATTAATGCGTGGTATAATTCGATGCTTTTTGATCGCCATGGTGTAATTTATTTCTATGTTTTGCAGCCAAATAAGAGTTGATATATCACGAAAATGTTAGAAGRCTAATACAGGTTAAGAGATCTTATTTTACCAATTAATAATTCTACAGCATTACCTTTATATGGCATATATATCTATTTGATTACGAAGAATATATACAAGAAAAAATTAACTCTTTTCTCTTTCCATATAGGTATCGCTTCTCAATGGAATGGCATATGGTATGATAATAAGAAACACACTGAAATGATAATTATATCCTTAAATCTAGAAACTGCCTTACCAAAATACTGAATACCAAAATAGTTGTATTTCTTTTCGGCGGCTTTCCTAGCACACCTACAAACCAAATCAATCAAATAAGTGTTCCAGTTCCCCCAGTCGATCGTTTTACCACTGTAGACAGGATCTGTTGGGTCGCGGTCAGTAAGGATGAGCTCGTTCATTGGACGTGGCTGTTGTTGGCTGTCCTTGTAGCATCCTAACTTCTCATATGGTATATCACAGGTTGCTTCCTCTGGAAAGAACCGCTCACAAATTAATAGACCTTTCCCGAATTCGCTTGACTAACCACGAAACAATGGTTTGAATTGATCGAAGTTGAACATGATGAAAAAAGAATCAAGATCAGTGTCGACTTCCAACCACTGTTTCGTGGTATCATCCAAGCGAATTCTGGATAGGTCTATTTAACCCTTGTCATTTAGAATCTATTAAAATTTAATAGTTAAAGTTATTTATTGGAACTCAAGAACGTTGTTCATCATTAAAATGCAAGTGTTTGACAACTATATATCCGGATGAATCTAAATAATCTCAATGCAACTTTTTAATGCTCATGACATATAATAAGTAATATAAGTCAGCTGCATGCATGAGTTAATCTCTTGGATATCATAGCAAGCTCCAATTATTTGTGTGCATTTAGCTGGTAACAATGAAGCCTTCGCAGAAAAATCTTGAATGCGAGGCCAACATGAATCTCAAAATTATCGTGAATTAGAATGTGAGGCTAACAATACATAAGAAATTAAAAATTTCCTCAATGGAATTTGTTGCATTTCTTTTGTATTTCCATGTTAGACTCGTATCCAAAATAATATTATTCTTGGTTTGCAATCAATCCCAAGAGAGCACAATAACAAAAGGGACGTCCGCCATATTGGAAGATATAACAAAAGAATCCATTGAAAAATCTTTTGTCAAATTCTTCGAACATGGCGTCTATGACGTCTATTGCAAACGAAGAATAAATGGCTTATTGACTTCAACGGAATCAGAAGTAAAGCATCTAAAAAACTTACTAGGCATATCAATTCCATAGACGTAATTTGTCTCCGCTTCTCCAGCACAGACATCAGGTTTATCTGGAGTACAAGGCTGCCCTTCTTTGGTTATGCATTTTGAAGAAACCCCATTCCGTTTGTACGTTTCACCAGCGTCAGGTCCTGACCAACACTCACCTAGATGTAAAATTCAAAGTATTGTACTCCCAACCATGTCACCGGAATATTAGAATATATAGGAGCCGATCTAGCGAAGCTCTTGTTGGAAGAACCATAACAGCGCAAGGGAGGGGAAGGTGGAGAGGATGAAAGAGTCAAAGATAAGAGCCACAAGTAAGGGACGAATATAAAAGAGGACAGTGCTAAATAATGGAAGTGTTTCAAACAAGATAAACATACGACAGATAACTACAACTTATTAGTACAAATTAATTATATTAAACCACTTTCCGTTGCTTCCATCGTACGCGGTGTGAATTCAAAATCATATAATGGGGACTTCGGCGTTTGACAAACCAATATGAATAAACTAAAACAATAGAGGCCACAGCACTTGAAGCCACCCCTAAATCAGCACATGGTGAACGTATGTTCAAAAACGATAGATGAAAACGTATAAATAATAGTTTTCCTAGACATCATTAAAACCTTTTAATGACTGAAATGATTTCACAAACTGACTTTTTCAATATATACATATGATGGGTAGAATTTAATATATTCATCTAAGTACTTTCTTACCGTAATACTGGATGCTAAAGAAATTATATCTCTTAGATCTAGCGGCCTTGGAGCATCGACAAACCAATTTAGTCAGGTATGTGCTCCAGTTGTTCCAATCTAAAGCTATTCCTGAACTAACTGGCGATGTTTGATCGCGGTCTGTGAATAACAGCTCAGGTAAAGGCCGTGGGACTTTCATGTCATCCTGAAAGCAGCCAATCTTATGAAAAGGGGCCTCGCATTTTTCTAGGAAGATAAAGACAATGATAAAAGTTATACCAACAAACAATTTTTTACAAGGGGACTACTTTGGCCGGTGGCTCACAAACCTGTGACCTTTGTTTCTTGATCGAAGAGAAAAAGTGACAACAATCCAACAGCGAGTTCGGAGTGAACACACACTTACCGCTATGCCAGCCCGGCAAGGGAAAAGCTTATTCGTGTGATGAGGATTTAGCTTTGTATAATATGTATAAGTCCACAATTAAACTGGCTCTTTCATTATATGATTTGAAATGTTTTGAGTTGTTTTTTTTTTTTTTTTTTTTTTTTTTAATGATGCTATATATAGTTCTAAATTTTTGAAATTTTCTTCGGTTTAACTCGAGCTCTTTACACCACGCAATTATTTGCCCTAACCAAGCCATGATCAATACTTTTTTGTCTCTTTTTTTATTTGTATTTCCTTTTTTATTGTTGTTGTATGTTTTACTATCAAAAAAACGTACCTTCAGGAACACGAGGAGGAGTAATTCTCTTCGGTTTAGCTCGAGCTCTTTACACCATCCAATTGTTTGCCCAAGCCATGATCAAATCTTTTTTGTCTCTTTTTTTTATTTCATTTATTTTTTATTGTTGTTGTATGTTTTATTATCAAAAAAACGTACCTTCAGGAACACGAGGAGGAGTAGCTGTAGTTGGCCCTAAATGAAAATCAAATGTCGACAGCATGAGAACATATGTTAACTAAATAGTTTGCTGCCACGAATCAACATAAAAAAGTGACTTATAAGTCAAGTCATAAGTGAGATAATCATATAAGTCCCTTTTAAACGGTTACTTAGACTCAACATTCCGTCATAAAATGTTTGAAGGTCTGCGATGTTTATGAAGTGAATCAAATGTAAGAAGGACAGAAGAAAAGTATTTCTGGTTTAGTGGGCTCAGTCTTACCTGTGGTTGGGGGTTGCGTCGTGATAGGGATGGGCGGTGGCGTTATGGGTGCCGGAGAAGTGGAAGGAGTAGCTGTTGTTGCATTTGTCACAATTGGTCTGGGTGTCGTAGACTGGGTTTGAGGTTGGGTGATTGTAGGGGTCGTCGGAGCTTCAATAAAATTATGTCATTCTCTTATCAGTATGAAACATTAAAATCAACATCAATAGACTCAACGAAACAACATGACAGACACGACAAAAGAAAAACAAACAAAACTGTAGGAAACGAGAACTCAATTTATAGATTTGAAGACGTTTAATAGTCATAATCGAACATAGTGTAACAATTCACAAACGCCACCAGTTCCTAACAAAATAAATCATACAAACTACTGATATACTGCGAACTAAAAACTATAAGCAAATTACAAACGAAAGAAAACGAAAAATACTTACAAATACATTTGTCTTACGCCATGTAGAAAAAACACGTACGAGAGAACCAAGAAACGTTCTCTAAACCAAGTAGGTTCTCGCTCCTACCGATACTAGTTGCAACTGAACACAAATCTAACGAATCGCAAGTACTTAACTTAATATGAATGCATTAAGACACTGCACGAAAACACGAAACTATGCGAACAATATACTTAAGACAAAGAAACTAAACAACGGAAAGAAAAAGCGCCTTTTGGACGCAACAAAAACATTATTTTAAAAAAAAAATCATAATATGAGAATAATCATCAACAGCTAGTGGGGCAAAAGTCTTAAAACTCACGACATAAACATAATGAAGGGTTTATCCAACAACGTGGAAACTAGTAACAACACACTAGGACAAAATGGCCGTCGGGGAAATCTTTCTAACGGGGCTTAGTTGCTAGGGCGCTGAAAATAATAAGAGTAATGGCCCGAACAAAAATACAGATATGAAGCTGCATACCTTCAGTCGGGCAAGCAATTTCAGAGATTTTATTGACTTGTTTCAAAAGCTCGTCATAATCGCTCATCTTCAATACGTTACTAGAGTCAGGGTCAGTAGCCATCAGGTTCAGTTCTTCTAGATTGACGCTATCACTAACACCGACTGCCACAACATTTACTCCTAGGTTTGCCAGGTCAGCGGTAGGCTGTGCAATAATTTCAATTCCTGTGGCAGGAAAAAAAGGAAACAACAATTGTAATAAATCTGATATAACTAATATATTAGACTATTTATAAAGTGTTCTATCATGTATCAGGGCCTTAGGAAGACCAATTAGAATGTTTACCTAGACAAAAGAGCAGCGAATTGGGGAGTACTGAACGAAAATGTTCAAATCGAGACCCTTGGAAACGCGAATTTATAGAGTATGGAGGGGCATTTGTGACAATTTACCAAGGCAACGTACTGCCTCGCTTGCCTCATGGTGGCAACGGCCCTGTGTATGTATATAATATAAATGCGCTTTCACGATTTATTACTTGAGGTTGCTTTGTAGTTTATGATCAATCGTAAGTGTGAAGTTTAGACCGTAAGGGTGGTTGCTGCAAAGCGGGGTTGTTTACGTCAGTGGTTTAGTAGTGACAGGAGTTTTTAGTATTCATGAAGTGTGGAGAGACGTGATCGCCATTTAAAGACTTCATCCGAACCACATCAAAGTCTAATTATTTGTAGATGTAATAACGGGRAAAAAAACGAAGACAGCACTTGAAGTTCCTCAATAATTTTGAGACCTTAGGTGTTACACTGGTCTGGCCGAGGAAATAAAAACTCTCACACAACGTACAGTATAATGCTTAAACGATTTTTGGAACCAACCTGTGCTATCACTGACACCGACTGCAATAACATGAACTCCCAATTCCGTCAGTTCAAGGGTCGGCTGTGCAATAAGTTCGATCCCTATTGCAAGAAAACATGGACAAAAACAGTAATTGGGAAGAAAAAATGTCTATAGAGCTCTTCCTAATATATTTATATAATCAAGGCACTTTTATAGTTTGTGAATTGATTTGGTCACTGCAAATGTTTTCTTAAGTATTTAGTGATTCGTTAGCATTGTTTGGTTATTGATGATTACTTAAAGTGTAGAGAGACGACGGGACAGCCATCTAAAGTGAAGATGCATGCAAGACATTAAAAAAAACCTTAAAAACCTTACTATTTGTAAATGCAATACTCCAGTTTCGAATTCCCTGTTGTTCAGGGTTAGCCTAAACTTTGTGTTGAATATTCACGTTTTCCAGTAAAGGTCCGTGGAATTTCAAAGTGTTTTTATTGTTGAAGTTKTGCATTCTTTACTTTACCGTTGGTATTTGTGAATATTTAGAAMCTGWTATGAGGCTTAGCCTGAGTAAATGAGTCTGTCACAGCGGTAACTTGGAACTCGAAAACGGTCTATTGGTCTATTAGTTATTTTAAGAACCTTGGTGCTCTGGCCGTGGGATTGATTTGTGGATAAACGCTAAGTTAGGCTAAAATATATTAGAATAGTGACTTTTAAGTCATTTAAAAATGTGAGAGAACATGGCATTAAATAGCAAAACATGCCTGGTGTTCCATCCAGTGGTGTGGTCTTKCCATCTGTTACAATTACAAGCAATCTGTGATCCTTTTGCACACTTTCTCGTTTAAACATGTCTGCTGCTTTAGACAAGGCCAACTCTGTTCTTGTTATTCCGTTCTACGAGTAGACAACAAAGTCGATCTGAAAAACCTTTCTAATCATATGTGCGTTTACTGTTGCTTTACAAAAAATGAATCGGTCAGGATGATAYGCTAGACGTCATTATTGGTCGCCCCACAAAATTGGATATAAATTTAGAATTTAACTATTAGGAACAGGAAAACGCCCGGAAAATGCGCACGGACAAAAACAGAAGTCAAATTATGCGGCCTGTATTGATTTTAGATATATTGCTTTTGCTTTCTCATATTAATTCATTAATTACAGTGCTTTTTGCCAAAAAAAAGGGCAATTGGATTTGAAATTTGAACTAGTAACAAATTAAAATTTGGAAAAATTTTGGTAGTAATGGGAAAATGACTCATTTGAAAACCTCATTAATTCCGATTTTTATGGTATTATCGGTATTATTTCGAGTCTCTCGTCGCTAAAAAGGTAATAAGTAATTCCTTAGTCGTAGAATATTAATTTTTTACCTGGTAAGTTTCACTTAGGACTTTAATACCATTATCAAATATATCTTTATTGTCCGTCAGAGCAACTGCTTCATTAGCAACTTGACTGAACTCTACAACCCCGACTTTGTTTCCCGGATGAAAGCCCATGACGCTGTGTCCAAGATCAGATGAAAAGTTAACGGTTTTCTGCCAGTTTTCAAAGCCAACGCTTCCAGATGCATCGAGGACAATGATGGCATCCATAGGAGAATGGCATTTAGCGCTTGCGCTGACGCCTGGAATAAGTCGATAAGTTACTGTTCGCGCTAGTCATGCTCTGTTACAGTAGAGCGGAAGAAAAGAAAGAAAGTAAAAGAAAGGAAAGGAAAGGAAAGGAAAGGAAAGGAAAGGAAAGGAAAGGAANTTACAGTAGAGCGGAAGAAAAGAAAGAAAGTAAAGGAAAGGAAAGGAAAGGAAAGGAAAGGAAAGGAAAGGAAAGGAAAGGAAACATATATATAATAAAATATATTATCTCTCCTGACTGTTCAAGCGTTTGTTTGTTTGTTTCTTGGTTCTAGTCAGGACAGCCTGTCGTCAGTTTTCTAGTTTGTTTGTACTTGTAATTGGTTAGTTGATTGGTTCTTTTAATTAAAGGCTGTATATCAACCCGTAATGGTACCCGTGATTTTTTTTTTTTTGTTTTTTTTTTTTTATTTTGTTTTTGTTTTTGTTTGTTTGTTTGTTGTTGTTTTTTTTTTGTTTGTTTTTTGTTTTTGTTTAATCTGTCTCTTGACTTTGCCAGGTGAGATAAGACGACTGGAGTTAATAAAAACATGACCTGCCACTTAACAATCAAGTGACCAGTTCACACTTATCCGCATCACTTGACATATTCTTGTAACTCATTAAACAAACGTTTCCGATAAAATGGGTTGGTTTTTGAACAGTTTGATGAAAGATAACGGTTAAAAAAAATTTTCATTTCATTTTTTTTTTTTTTTTTTAAATCTCTATAACAGCAACTCTTTGAATTTTTGTACTATTTTATTTCATGGGCGACAAAAAAAAATTTTTTTGAGCTATGTGCAAAAATGAAAAACGGATATTAAGAAAAAAAGAGTTCCTTTATATTTAAATGGTACAGTCTACATTTAAATTTTTACTTAGGTCAAAGATTTAAACTTGYAGTGTAATTAGGACAAATTTATAAACATTTACCTCAATACCTGGTGAACTTTATAATTTTAATGTATTTGTATATATTACCAAAWAAGAACAATCAAAATTCCTCGTACTTACCTGATTGGCTGAAAAAAGGACTCCAAATTAAAAACAGAAATAAGAGTTTCATGTGTGTAGCCGCCATTTGAGGTGCAAATTTCAGGTACTGCCCAACAGTGAACTGTTTTTCTATAAGCAATTGTTTTATTGTCCGAAATCAAATCGAAGATTGACTAGGAGGTTCTGATTGGTTGATGAAATACAATAGCGACAGGTTTATTTTCTTAATGTGAGTCATTGGTATGAAGGAACCCTTTTAAGTGTCAGTATTGTTTATGGCGGCTGTCAGTGGCTTAAAATTATTGGTAAAAAAATAAGATAACGTTTTTTTTTTAATTAACTTGTGGACGGACACCTATATTTCTATTTCTATTTCTATTTCTATTTCTATTTCTATTTCTATTTCTATTTCTA